GTGGACAAATGGATGGGTGGTGGGAGGGTGAGTGCGTGGGTGGATGGACAGACAGATGGTGCGTGGTGCTCCCTGGTGTTGCAGGGCCTGAGCAGACCCCTGGTGAGAGCAGTGGAGACAGTGAGCAGACTGATGAGGATGGAGAGCTGGACGTGGCAGCCCTGGCCCAGCCCAGTGGCAGCAATGTGAGCTCCCCCCCACCACACACCTGACCCCCACCCCTATCTGAGCCTGCGCCTGCTCCTCCTGACCACTGACCCCCCCAACGAATGTCCTTATGGTCTCCTCTACCACCCACCACAGCCCAAAGAGCCCCTCCCTCCCCTGAGAGCCTGAGCACCACAGAGACAGCTCTGGGTGGACACAGCCAGCGCCGCTGGACCCTGGGCTGAGGGTGGGGAGGGCCTGTCCCTCAGTTAGCCGATGCTGACCCACCCTCCCACATCCATGCCTGCTCAGAAGAAGCGTCTGCTCGCCTTCCACCACCTGGACCTGGACCACGACTCAGAGGAGCTCCCTCAGAGCTCCCACCACTCCCCAAACCTGTCCACCACCCCAGGAACCACAGGCAGCCTGCAGGTCGGTGGGCTCCCAGGCCTGCCCCCCACAGCCCCAGGGGGAGGTGTCCATTGCCAGATGGGCCAGGTGCTGTGTCTAATGGCTGTGTGGTCAAACTGCTCTCGGGGCACGGGGGAAGGGGGTGGTGAGCTGGGACTGACTCAAAAGGCTTACGCCCCAAGGAGCTGCTACTCTGTAGACCTTTTGGGTGATGGTGTCCTGTGCTCAGTCCCTGACAGATGACCCGTGTGTAGAGACAGCCAGCTCACAGTACACCGTGGTGGCGGAGGAGGAGGACCCAGGGCCTGTCGAGCCCCCACCCTGCCCAGGACAGCGCATGGTCAGTCCTGCACCAGCCAGACCACAGGCCCTCACTGAGTTCTGCCTGGCTGCGGACACCTGCAGGACAGCCCTGGAGGGGGCTGCTACACCCGGTGGGTGCCTTGGCCAGTGTCCCCAAATCCACTGTGCATGGGGAGGGGGTACCGAGGAGCCTGCCTCTTTACCCCAATTTATGCAGGCACCCCAAACCCACTCACCACGGAGTCAGCTCTGACTCGGAGTAACACCCCCCACCCCATCCCACCACCCCCACAAACACACACACACACGCAGTCTGAGCAAAACTGGGATCCATAGTGTCCCACCGCCCCACCCCACCCACACCACCCCGCCCCGGTGCAGACTGCTGGCAGATGAGCAGCCTCACACGTCACCCACCCCGGCCCCCAGGGCCTGCGTCAGGACTTTACGCACTGAGAGCCTTAATGGGCTCAGTGTCTTGTGGTGATGGGCAGCCT